GGGGGGAGTGAGAAACCTCGCTCGGGGGTGTGGGGATAATTGTTGGATAGTTTGATTGTCGGATTGGCCCCCAATCCCTTGCCTATTGTTCTGTTTTTCTGTTTGCTCTACTTTGTTCCTTGTTACTTGTTTCCTTGTTACTTTGTTCCTTGAAAGTAATAAATGAATATGGAATTAATGCTAAAAATAAATAAGTTTTAATATGAAAAAGAATGTTCTCTGTGAATTCCTGTGCGGACCTTATGAGGAGTATTGATGACATGACCTTGTGAAATATGGACAAATGACATGAGACCTAAGAATGGACTATTGAGACAAGTTATGATTATGAGAACATGAAAAATGATGACATGATATACTTAATGAAATTTTGTAATAAGTTAAATGTTGAGTTAATGGAAACATTTTAGAATAAAATAGCTACTCCAATACTTCATACTCAAGGCGATAATCGAATTCCAATCTTTATTTAAGGAATACAAATGTTAATCAACTAGTGCTAGCAATTTTTATTTTAAACTTGTCTATATATTATTAAAGGTAGAATAATCTCCTAGAATTTTTTCTCGCTAAAAATTACATAGCTTTTTCAAACTTTTCAATCTATTAAAATTCAAATGCTTCCTATTAATTATAAAATAAATTTATTAGCAATTAATAAATTAAATTATGTCAATTAAGCATATAAAATAATTTTTTTTATAAAATCTATATCTATTTATATTTATATGCTAATAAAATTTTTGTAATTGTCCCACAATTTTGTTGAAAGTCATTGTGTAGCTTTCTCACACAAATATGGATTATCTTATATAACAAAATTATTAGCCTTTAATAAATTCAATGACGCCAATCTATATATCTATCAATATTTTATCTTATTCAGGAAAAAAAAAATCAACATCTTATCTTAAAAAATAAACATCTAAGATAGTCTCCGTACTTTTTTTCCCACTCTTTTACAGGGTAATTTGAATATATTTTAATTATAATGTGGATTACATGTTTATTTTCAATAATATCAATTACAATGTTTTGTAGATTATAATTAAACAACACATTCAATACTATTAAGCAACCAAAAATGTTTTCTATTCACATTATTTCACTTTATTTCATATATGATATGATGAATTTTATTTTCTCTCACTTATTTCTTTTTTCTTCTCTTATTTTTCTTTAATGACGTTGGATAATTTTTACAAAATATCTAAGAAATTTTTTTTTTTCATCATCACTCCCTTTTAGATCTACCTTATCACATCTTCATTCACCTGCCAATTTTTTTCTACATCATTCATATTCACGTTCTATTGGTATACTTTAATGCACATTACAAATTAACATTTATACATTTTACTTTATTTTTTGGTTTTTTTATGATTTTCTTATAGATAAAATTTTGAAAAGCATCATTCAAGCAAGTTGAACAAATATATTAGGTTTTACAGTTCACCTCTTTCTTTTATATTTTTTTAAGTCAATTTCATGATTTAATTTATTAGACAAATAGTAAAATAAAAATAAAATATTAATCAATTATCACACTATATATAAATCAATTATTACAATAATATTATTTTGAATAAAATTACATAAAATTATTACATATAATAAATAATTTTTTTAATAGAAATAATATTATATATTCATAATAGTCAACAAGACTAAAAAAATTATCAATACTTAATTGCCTCAAATTTCATTTACATTATTTAAGGTCAATAAATGTGTCAAATAAAAAACAATAAGATCAATAAATATATTGAACTTATTATTACACACATTAATTTATAAACTCTCAATTTTTTTATTATAAAAAATAATAATAACTTTTTTTACTAAAATATAACAATAATTAACTTAAAACTATAAAAATACACTTAAACACATTAAACTAATAGATAAATAAATAATTATTTTTTATTATATTTATTAATTATTATCACATAAAGTGTATTTTAAATCTTGAATAGCATGGATAACCATACTAATATTTTTCAACATTAACAAAAATATTCATTTAATCATGGGTTTACGTTAAATTTTTTACCAGTCAACACATTTATTATTTGATATATAATTTAATGTTAAAGCCTCTACAGTGATGTTAAAAAATAATACTTTCTTCATTTTTTATTTATAGTCATTTTATTTTTATTTTTTTTATATTTTTTTCATTATCACTTTTCTAAAATCAATGACTTATTAGTTTTTTTTTTATTTTTACTCTTGATAATTAATGTGTTTACTGAATAATGTATTTATTCGTTTTTTAATGTATCTATTTCTTTTTTAACACCTGAAGGTATAACAGGAAAATAAGTAATAAATACTTTGAAAAACTAAAAAATATCAATCGTTTTCTTAATTCTTATGCATAACCTTAAACGTAAAAAAAAAATTATTATAAGAAAATAATTGTTCAATTAAATTTACCTAACTCTTTCATTAATAAACATTAATATTCTAAGCATTTTTCATAAAAGGGAAATTAACATGTATTAAATCAATATTAGTTTTACTAAAAAAATATATTCATTAAATGAGATGGAAGATATATTAATAAAATGTAATTTTCAATAAATTTAATAATATATATATATATATATATATATATATATATATATTGAAATTAGAGTATTAAAAATAGTACTGTCACTAACATTTCTCTCTACAAAAAGTAGAACATATGTTCCTTACTCTTTTTTCATCGTAGAAAAGTTTCACTTGTTACTTTTTTATCTCCAAAACCCTGAACTCACCTTCAAACTATGGGCAACATAGCCCCCACGAGGTACTTGTAGTTTTAAGTTTTAACATGTTTACCTCCAAAACCCTCTTCTTAAAAAATGTAATTTATTTATGAATATTATATTTATTTATTCTTAAAATAATATAACTATAATAAATAAATATTTATTATATTTAAATAAAATTATTTATAAAATTATATTTGTTTATTTATGTAAACAATAATAATAATATATTTTTTAAGAAATAAAATTATATGTAAAAACTTAAGAACAATTCTTTGTGCAATTGGTGTTTTTTTTTTTTCCAATTAGAGTTGGAGTATTTTACCTATGTATTATACAAATGCATTTAATGCAAGTCTTATAAATATACATTTATGTAAACTATTGAGGTAAAATTTCACTTCTTATAAGAGACCAACACCATCTGCACCTACGCAACTATACATAAGTTTTATCCTAAAAATAATCAACCTCTACTCTATTTCCCTTCTTCTCCTCTCTTATGAAATAACTTTTATTTCTACTTTATTTTTCTATACTTTTCCATTTCTTTCCTCTTTACTAAACACAGTGTAAACTTTTACCTACTAAAGTCACATAACCCAATAAAAGTTCCTCCATTTTCATCTCATCTCACCTGTCTCTCAATTTAATTTTCCTTTCTCAAGCCCAATCTTTTTTTTTTTTTCTTTTTCTATTGGATCTCAATCACAGATATCAACAATTAACTAGTATTCACATCCCTTAAACAATGAAGGATGACGAAGGTGATCAGAGTATTCAGAGTGATTTCATAATGGAGGGTCTAGGTAAGTAAAGAAGTTGATTGTGATTTTGAAATTATGATTCTTCAAAAAAAAAAAAGGCAAAATTTTTTAGTTTAAGGTCTGGGAAAAAAAAAAGAGCATATATTTTTTGTGTATTTTATGAATCTTCTTCTGCTTCCTGGATTATGAAAAAAAAAAAAGAAGGTTAAAAATGGTGTTTTGGGTAAATGAAATCTAATTACGCTTTATGTTAGTGTGTCGTAGTTCTGTTTTGGCCCCAACACCATATTGTTGTGGTCGTTACACATGATTTATGCTTTCAACATTCTAGCAGCTTAATGGTATTGTTGCCTTCTAATACTGAAATGTTGTGGACCATACATTCGATATGCAACGATTTTTAAAACCTTTCCAAAATGGTATTAGTTGTTTATTTTTTCTACAATATATGGTTTCAATTTTTTTCCATGGTTGCTATAGACAATTGTAATCCTTACGTTGTTCTCCAATCCTATAACCAATGATGTTTCCTTGTTTCCCACCCTTTGTTTTATAATTCTTGGAAGAAATCCATGAAAATGGCTCTTCTTGGCAAAAACAAATTTGGGAACCTCTTGCTAAAATCAAGCCTATGTAATCATGCACTTGTGGTGGCATTTATTCTTGGTTTGATTTCAACCAGATGGAGTATGTTATGCATTTCCTAATGAATCCAAATGAATCATTTTTCCTCTATTTGAGGACAAATTCATCAATGGATTCGATTCCCCCTATCACTAGATATGACAATCTAACCCGCTCTCATGGGCACCTGCCTGAATCCGCCCCGATTTGGACGAGTAAAACCCGTGTTTTTCGGGTTCGAATTTTTCTCGATTGATAAATCGAGGGCGGGGGCGGGGTCGGGAATGTTAATACCCGCCCTGCCCCGCTCCCGTATCCGCCCCGCTTAATAATATATTAAAAAACTATTATATATATATATAAACCAAAATTAGAAATATTTATATGTAAAAATTTGTATTATTTTACTTTTCTTTTATTTTTTTTAAAATTTGTTCATATTTATTTAAAA